GATCTGAAACATGCGAGACTCCAAATCCTGGACATTGATGTTGAGATCTTTAGCGATATTTCCAACAACAGTCCCAAGACTGACTTCCTCTGAGACGGAATAAGAGAGCTGTCCAAGCACCGCTTCCCAGTAACAATCCAGCAGCACGAACAAGAGATATATCCACACAGAGCTCGATCTGCTCGGTACATTCATAATTCCAACGTTCAGAGAAATCACATAGAGAAATACATTCCGTATCGCCACAGAATTAAGATTTGAATCACAATCGGAAATGAAATACGTAAATTAACATCGCTCCCCAGAAATCGACGCTACCTTCTCCTTCACCCTCTCCGTCTCTTTGTTTCAATCGTCTGAGGAACATCATCATCCTCTGAATCTGGGAGGAGTCCCGATCTACCGACGAGGAAGATTAAATGTGATGGTCTACAATGTCCCCGTGTGGACATTTGGAAGAACTACACTCAGCATCAGACACCAGTGCAAACGACATCAGCAGATTCTGAAATATTAAGCCAATGAAATACTGTTATTGCAGTCTACGTGGAATACGACAACTTATTGATTTTTTAAAAAGCATGCTTGTTTCTCTTTGAAACTAACTTAGCATCTAGCAACAACACGTGATGAAAATATACACGATAACAATATACGATCAACATTCTACACCTTTTTTTAAAAAAAAAAATTTTAAAGCTGCGCTGTAAATTGACTTGTTGCTTTGGCACCGGTGATCGCGATATTGGCTTGAAAGACAAAATTTAAAATGAATATAAAATCAATGAAAACAAAGCAGGTCCCAACAAGTTTGAGCACTTCTGCTCCAATGCCCAACATATTTAACTTATCTTCAGTTCGATGGCACCAAACCCTTTGGAAATGGTTTAAATAAACTGTGTACATGCCACTCCTTCCCGACATACTCCGTCAATTCTGTCATTGCTCTCGTTTCTTCTTCATAAAAAGCCGAGACTGGATAAATCTATTTCTCCCTTAAACCGCTATTGAACCAACTGACAGTAAACATTCAAGTTGCTTCTATTATCACCGCTGATCTCTCTCAGAAATATTTGATATTTCGTAGGTGTGCATCAGTGCAACAAATGGGAAATGTCCGGAGATTTGCAAGAAACACACGTTTTGATGTGTTCAGCACCGCGGAGTGTGAACACCTAAAACAACCAATAGGCAGTAATTGATGAACAAACAGTCGTCAAATAGTTTATACCAACCTGTACTTGCATTTGATATCAATATTAAATCAAACAGGAGCCTAATTTATCTATTTTTTTGTTCATTNGGGAAGGTCGCTCCTGGCAAAATGCTCTCTGCTATATCAATAGTTTGTGATTTGCCAGTGAAAGACGGTGGATTATCATTCACGTCAAGAATATTAACCTCAATGCGGTAAAGTTTCAGCGGATTATTAATCACAGCCTCAACATTTATTGTGCATTTTGTAGCTTTCGCGCAGAGCCCCTCTCTGTCTATTCTCTCACTGACATAGAGAAAACCCGACTTCAGATTTACATCAAAATACTTCCTCTTTGATCCAGTTACAATCTGAAACATACGCGATTCCAAGTCCTGCACATTAAGGTTCAAATCCTTAGCGAGATTTCCAACCGAGGTCCCCGCGTTTACTTCTTCTGACACGGAATAAGAGAGCTGCCCAGATACCGCTCCCCAGATAGACTCCAAGACAACAAGCACTAGATATATTCCAATGGAGGTCTTTCTTTCCGGCAGATGCATAATTCCACCCAACGAATACGAATCATAGATCCTTAGAATGGCGTGCCTTTCGCTTTGTGCGGACAGATCTTTAGAAAGACTAACTTAAATGCCAGTGTATTCTCTATGTCTAGTCCACGTCGTCCTGCGTCTCATTCAAACAAAGCCCTGAGAAAAATGGTGATGATTTTAATGTAGGAGGGGCCTCTACACGTCAACGACCAACTGACGGTGTTACGGTCTAGACTGTCACCTCATGGCCATTTTCAGTAACTGCAGTGCAGTGAAATAAACACAGTAATGTTGGTGATTTTCACCATAATGCATGTACCGATGTCTGCAGTAATCTCTAAAATGACAGCTTCTCCACGACCCAGTGCAGTACCAAACCTTTACAGTTTAAAAGAGTGTGATCGCCACAGCATTTCAGAACCATGGACAGCGCATCATCATGCTGACACTTGAGACAAGGCAAACTTTAAGAACACTTTACAATGTTTGTTTTCTACACATAGCAATAAATTGAGTCACGTTACTGAAAAAAGCACAACATACTCAAACAGCAAGACTTGTGATGTATGGCTTTATAAACCCAACCTAAGATGGTTACTCCTAACAAATTGCCATTAGGGATTCCCAAGTCAGCATATTGCCAGAACAAACAGACCAAACTCTCAATATTGTATGCATCATTATAGAAGAGGGAGATATTCTTGCTCAATTTACAAGATACATTTTATGTCAGTGCTTGGAAGTTGAGTTTAATACTGTAACAATGAGTTTCAATATTGTTTGACATTCAGGTCAAATTAAGGCAATATGAGAGACGATAGCATTATTGAAAATTCTAGTTAATTTTATTCTCTATATTATCTCTATATAGATGTAGTCAAGCATTAAAACAAGCCATGAAGTCAAATGGATTATTAAAACGTGTGGGACGATTGATTATCTGAAGTAACATGCTCACTGCACATTAAAAATGTCTTTCATTAAATAAATAACATGTGGTATCTAAAACTAAACTATATTGCTAAGATTTTTTGTGTGACTTAAGTCCTCATTCTGTGTAGGATTTACAATATAAAACATCTAACAACTGTTGCAAAACCTAACCTAATGAAGAGTGTTTACTTCTAGCAAGTGGATGTTATGCTATTACACTGCACAAACACAATCACAAAAAACAAGTATGGGATGGGTGTAAATTTTCTTTTCACATTACAGTGTTGGAGGTGACATCAAACCTTTACAAAAGAAAGTATGCCCTTACCTTTTCTTTATTGGGTAAAGTCTG